ATAGTAATAAATTTTATAAATATTATTCCTCAAGAGATGCTACTAATACTTCTTGTATTCATAAACGAATCCCAAAGTCAAAGTTGTCTTTACCAACAAACACGAAGTTTCGTTTTAGTTGAAAACAAAAGAAACTTCTTGGCGTTTCTTTTGGCGAGGAATAAATAATACGCTAAGGCATAAAGTTACATAAAGGTAGGTTCGAAGCAAGAAGTTTAGTCTTTACTTTGTTGATTTTGAATAAACTGTATTATAATAATGGGTGTCTTCATTATCTTATTTTTTGAATATGTGAATCTTAAAATATTTTATCGTACTGTATGTTTGTATTCATTATTTCTTTCATCCTCATACATCTTATTAGGGGCAATCCGATATTCGAATAAAGTTAAGTAATTAACTACTAAATAACACATTAAAATAGCATCCAGGTAGGAGCATTGAACCTTTTTCTCATACACATAGAAAACACTTTGGAAATTGACTATATATTGACCTAAATTGACAAAATACAACATAGTATATATTTCTAGTATATAGTCTATATTTTTAAACCCAAACAATTCATACGAATATATCAGAAGAAATAAGTCTAATGATAGGTAATGTAAACATATTAAATATTCCCCTCAGTTAGTAAACAAGTAGTTTCAGGAAACAAAAAATATACCAAATAAACCAATATAATTGCAACTAGTGTACATGTTGCTCGAATTCGAGCAATTACAAAGTATTACAGGAGTTATTTCAGATTGAATAACAGTCATATTTACAATGAGTTTAAAAGAGTCAACTCAAATATTACCGTTGTGTAACTCAGACCCTGTTTATCTTCGTTATTGATAAACCTAAAGCATTCCGGACAGTTCTCTCCTTCTCAAAATGCCTCGCTGTACAGGCAACATAGGTCATTAATAGAGGGCCAATTGAGAACGAAAAGTCGTTTTGGGGTAGTGTTATGGCGCATTTGTAAGCAAATAGTTGAAGTTGTCCAGGTTCAGGTTCAGACTGTGATGAGTTAAGCCTATTACGCACCACTACTCTGTAGCTGCGGTCGAACATACCGAACATCACACATCATGTTATATTCCTTTGAATTTGTATGGACATACTAATTAATACTAATTAATGTCATAATGTCAATACTAATTAATACAAAGGTTAATATATATTTGAACTCAAAATCCCCGTTAAGTAATTATGTAACACTAACTGGTAACTAATAATATTCATTAAGTGTTATCATCCAAGAGGGATCGACCATTAAAAGACACCTATTCTAGTTTGAGACAAATATGTGATTCCCTTATAGGTGAAGAAAGATAAATCACAATTAGCTGCAGACCTCAAAAGTTAGCCATTTATAATTGAATTGGGCAAATGTGAACCTTCAGCACAAGAAGACAAGTCATGCAGCTCGTTCAATAAATAATTTGTACCCGGTTGAGGTAGTTTTGCATTAATAATCATAAATATGCCTTAATAAATTCAACTTATTTGTATACAATAATTAACCTTCTTTACTAAACCTGATAAAATAAAAGTGCAAGGCAAAATGGTCAGTGACATTGATACTATAGTTAATACATTTTAAATTTTTTTACTTCCGCATAGACTCTTTTGAAATATTCTATATTAAAAAGGGTGGTTATTAAGGAAGCAATAGATATATACTACCAACCATTCACATGAGAAACATTGTTCTAAAGTTGAAGAAATGTGTAAAGCCAAGTTTTATCCTCATGGGAAATCTTGCAGTTGATATCAGTGTGTTAATAGGTTTGGACCACAACTGTAACGGTTGAAAGTTTTAGTCAGTAAAAACCGTCACCCAAAGTTAAACTAGCTGTTTCTGGGCTCCAAAGCTAATTTAGTTTTTGTGGTCCAAGTACAATTAAAATAATTCTTTCAAATAAAAAAAGTAGGATATAGGAGTGCATTTACCAAAATTGTGTTATTACATTTCTGTAATTAATATTTACCTAAGTAAATGGAGTTTTGGATCCGTTCTGTATTTTTAAGCCCAATGGAAAATCTACTTATTGCTTTAATAATTTGTGGAATATAATACAGTTGGAATAACCGTTACGTGAAGAAGATTTTATAAATCTATCGACGGACCTTTACAATCGGTTTGATATTAGTAAAATAAATAGCAACATCAAAAATGATATCCTTCAAAATCAAGCAAGACATTTTTACCAATTAGCATATTATTAAATTAAATAAACTTCTCTAATTAATATGTCAAACTATTAAACAACGAATTTTAAAGAATAAAAATAGTTCATACAAAAAATATCTAAAAATAGTTACACTTAACACTCATTCGTAACTTTTTTGTCATATTACTTTCCAATCACACAGCAAAAATCGATAAATGTAACAAACTAATACTGCAGTGTGGTTGATACAAACAAAATACTACATTTATCTTGCTTTTCTTAGAAATAAACAGGACGTCTGTCTCGAGTAATGAGTCCACAGCTCTATAAAGAGGAGTTTGCTGTAATTTGTAGCAGCTTCTTAACAAGCAGTCCCCTTCCACTATTCTTTATCATTCCACAACACCCTTGAAATTCTTCTTTATTGTCAGAAAATTTTGAGTAAAATATAAAGAAATATTAAACAGTGTATTTTAAATCTTGTATTATAAACTAAGTATAAAATTAGACATGGGTAATATTACCAACCAGATATTTAGTAGGATTCATTAAAATTTTAATACTTACAGTTTTAATAGTTTACAGGGGACATTAACATGACGGCTAGTAGGCATATATTAATGTCATTTAAAGAGACTTATAGTCACTGGCTACTAAAATTTAAATTGTCTGCTAAAAGCACACACATATTGTCATATATTCAAACAAATATTCAATGGCAATTAATTTATATAATATTAAACATGTGAAAAATTCATATTCTTAACGTTTTATATCTTTGTCACAGTTCACGTTTGTAAGATTAGGAAGAGTACTATACTTACTTGAAATGTATTGTAAATGTCTTTTTTCGAACATATATTTTGTGCTGACCATAATAATTCATACAATAAATATTTAATAAAATTCAAAAAGAATACCAAACCCAACACTCAAAATGCTACAACCTTTTACCAAACAATACAAGGACTATATTGAATAGTTTAGATTTAGAGGGGAGCTTCCTCTTTAGATTTTGAGGTATACATTGCAATGCACTTAATAATAAATACAAGCATATTTTACAGCAGTTGACTTTCACATTTATCTATTAAAGATTTCAATTTCCGTTGCTTAATGTACATTTTTGAATGACAATACAAACAATTTTTTTAAGTTAATAACATACTTATCTAAAACAACAAATAATATTTATCATGTGCAACACTACTGGTTATATTTTATAGTTATCTAGTGTTGTAATAAAGATCAAATAAATAGTTATGGCTATTTTTGGTTCTCAATATGAGGTTCACGTAGTTGAAATGGCATTGGACATTTTAACGTTTCTAAGGTAGGTTCTTAAGGAAAATGAAACGTAATAAACTATTTCTTTGAAAGATGATTTTTTATTTCTTAGAAGTTAATGATTATGTTTACGTTAAAATAAAATTCCACACTATTATTTTGATGGCAAGCAAATAAATTTACATACAAATAAAATTTTTTCATTGCCTTGCAATATCCTTGTTCGATGTTGGTAGATAAGTTTGACAAGTCGAACAAGGATGTTGCAAGGTAAAGAAACAATTTTATTATTATAAAACAATATCCAGAAGTATGACCATGAATTCTGATTTTCATGTAAAACTCCGCTTTACTGTATTTTAATCATCATACATGGCGTAACATGTAGTATTGACATTATTTATGGAAACAGATAATGTGAGATGGGAAGAAGAGTAAAAACCTAGTGATTTCGCATGTTAAATCTCATTTTTAAACTATAAGTTGTAAAAGTTATTGAACAAGATGTGTTATCGAAAAAGATGTTCAGAAGAACTTTCTTGAAAGAGATTGTAGTTCTAGTTTTGTAATCAGAGTCTCGTTTGTCTTCAGTTATCGGTTGCACACTTTACACTATGTTGCTAGTCATTACCGAGATAAAATAACACTTCCCTATTTTTTCAAGTGAAAGTTTTATTTAATGTATAAAACTCTTGGATATTTTTACACTACACTATTTTTCATAGACTAAATGATTTGTATGTTAAATACATTTATTCCAGTAACACCACATTTTTACGAACTTTTAATCTTTTTTATGGTTTTTTTGTGGTTTAATTAATTCATCAACTATGATACTAAAAGATTTAACTTTTTGTAATTGTGAAAGTACTTTTTAAATGTATAAATTAATATTTTTGCATTTTTAACTCACTGTTACAATAGCTATATGATGTGCTAGTGGACACTTGATATTAACTGCACTTATACATGGATGAAGAAAATAATGCGTTATAGATTAGTATGAGAAATGCCATATCATATATTTAGAGTAATATACGCATATACTCCATACTTAGGATAATAACTAACCATATATATACAAATATTGAATGTGGACCAATGTACAGGTTACATGATCAAACGTTTGAAACTGATACCATACACCTTTATATTGGCTTCTATTTTGTAAAGTTGAGGATGTAATTCTTGCAATTTCAATTACAGACATATTTGACCAGCTTAAGCCTCATTTTGACACCTGGGTAACGTATTGCCTGTCGAGAAATCCTCTGAATTCAGACAACTTAGACTTAATTGAACTAAAGGACCAACAGACTTAACGATAACTCTTAATTTATATATTACTGTTGTAGGGTTAACATCACCACTAAGATCTATTTGAAGCAGATTTTAAAATAAACTGTAAGCAAAAACAAATCAAACTCAAAATGTATTTTGGAGCGTTCAAGCAAAAAAAAAATCATATTAGACCGTTCGAAAAGTAAATAAATTCTTTATAATGACTTTTTTTGTAACAGAACATTTTATTTCATGAATGGGGTTTGGTAAAAATAGTAAAAGACCTGCAAACAGTTTGTATTTTTGATATATCTTTCAGGATGGTTTTCAAATGTAAATTTTCGTTGTGGGGGAAGCACTGTGTTTTTTCTTAAAAATGAAATGTACACAAACATTTTGAATTCAAAACAATATACAAATTATGTTTGACTAAATAATTCGTTTCTATTAAAACAAAGTTAACCCTAAACTACGCTCCTCTTCTTTGGAGCTCCACAAAATATCCATCCACAGATGCCAATGTGGTTCTATAAACATAGGTCAACTCTTCAATGTTTACTTTGCTTGTGATCTTGAAAGCTTTTAGAATGTGTATCAGACTTATTTTCAGAGACAGAAAAGCAAAGTTTTTGCCTGAAATTAAGAACACCAATTATAATTAAAGTTTAATAAATAAGTAAGCTGTCTTCTGTAAATGTATATACATGTTAAAACATATAAAGTACACTGTTCACTTAACATACAAATTTCATAAAAACTACATAAAAGTTGCTACCATTAATGAATTATGGTGTGTCCTGTGGAAGGACAAATCTGTTTAATGTTGACCATACCTCAAACCAAAACTTAACCTAAAAAAAAACAATTCCAGAACCACCATAGAGTCACACAAAATGAATGTGGAACCTTAGAACTTAAAAATTGTAGAGCATCCAGTAAACAGTTGAATTAATCGAAATATGTGATACTCGGTAAAAGTAGGTGTTAGGTAAACTGTGTGAGCTAAACTTATACCTAACATGACTAAGTGTCAATGAGTGACCAACCAAATTTTCACATATATCTTCAAAAAAAATGACGCATACTGCATCATATAAATTAAGCTACCAGTTAGTAGAGATGCGATATAAGCTAACAAAGGTTCGCTATTTTAGTTGAGGGCCTTAATTGAAAACTTATTTTGTAAAACTTGGTTACTCTTACGCGCAACTCCCACCATGTAAGTAAAATAAACAACTCCTCCTGGGTTGTACAGTTGGTCCTTAAGTAAGAAATCGTTATAAGGTTTAAAATTTTTATAAATCCTAAATAAACGATGTGAGTCGGTGGCTCAGTTGGTAGTGTCACGGACTTCGGGCCCAAGGCAGCGATGTCGTGGGTTCGGATCCTGGTCACTGCCACTAAAATTTATCAGTACAGCTCACCTTCGTACTGTACCGGCTCACCCCTTGCTTTGCTGGATACGTTCCACGCACAGATCTGTAGTCTATGTGGACGGGCAAATGCAAGGTTAAAAGAAGTCACCAACCTCTTTTTTAGGAAAAGAAGAAGAAGAAGAAGAAGAAGAAGAAACATTAGTACGGTAATCGAGTCAACTCACCAATGCAGTTTCTTGGACCTCCTCCAAAGGGAAGAAATGAGTATGGATGTCTTTTCTGTACTTCCTCTATGCAATGTCTGTCTGGATCAAACTGTCCAGGGTTTGGATACACCTCTGGATCATAATGTAGACCGGCGATGCTTAGTATTACAGTTTCACCCTTCGGGAATGTACATCCTCCTGTAACGTATTATATTACAGGGTTCTCAGATGTCACATATATCCAAAATATTGTAATGTGGTTAAGTAAATTATGTTACACTGTAACTGGATTACATTCATTGATGACACAAGTGTGAATATGAGATTAAGTATGTGACACTTTTTAAAGTTCTTAAACGTTTCCAAGTGGTAAAGGTCATAAACTCAAACAAAATTGTTATGCAACATGATGTAATAAAAGTTTATGACCTAAAAGTGCAAGAATAAAAACAATAATGACTTGGTATACTAATATTATTTTTACTAAAAAAAAAAACAACTTATTCGTCACCGTAGACTTCTTATCTTTGTAGTAATATAATGTCAGTGGAGTACTGTAACTATAAAGGTTTTATAGACAAGCCTGCAGAGATGTGATTGAGCAGGTAGTCTTAAACCAGCAATGTCGACCACTATTACAGTACTCTGTCCGGAATTAATATGTATGCAAGTAATGAAATAGTCAAATGAAGGGGACAGATTGATTCTGAAGTAGTGAAGACCAAAATATCATATGAACTTCTTCTAGGCACCAATGTTCTACAAATGGCATTTTAGTACGTTTTGAGATACTTAAATTTACTTACTCAGTGTAAAGTCCTCGTCGAGTTTCCTAGGCACCAGAGGAACCACCAAGAACATACGAAGGGTCTCCTTGATGACTCTGTGAAGTAAATGTAAGTTGTCGAGATCTTCTAACTGGACCTCTTGTGACTGGTCACCCGTATATGTTATTATTTCATTGTATAAATCTTCCTGAAATTAATTAAATGTGAAACAATTGTTAATCAAGAATAAACTACTTGAAACAAAACCTTTTCCAGTAATTCACTACAACTAATTATTATATTAGGTTAGGTTAGGTTGGGTTAACGTAACTTAACCTAACTAACCTAAGATACTAATTAGTGGTAGTGAATGAAGTGGAGAATTAAGGGAAATAGTCTGAAATATCTAATATGAAAACAATTTCTCATTAATTGCCCATTACAAAAAAATACAGTATTTCTTTGTAAGAGACGGTTTAAGAAGTGTATGTAAGGCTTGATGTGTTGAAAAGTGTCAAACTTATCCACAATATTATGACGAATAACATGCAAATTAATAACTGACTTTAAGCGATAATTTAAGGCACAAAAAATACAACACAGCTGAAGTCATATATGAAGTAAAGGTGTTTTCATTATTTCATAAACTTCTTAGGTAAATCCACCTCATAAGTAAGTTTTATCAGACGTAAATAATCGACCGATAGCCTTAAAACCGAATAATTATCAAAAAGTGAAATACAAAATAAACAACTATCGTTTTGTGATCAGAATAAAGGTTCCGCATACCGCTTGTTGAACGCTTATAACTTTTAAAGTAATGTTTTGGCACACACACATTTATTACAGCCAATAAAAAAGACAGAGACAAACTATAAATGATACGGTTTTGACAACGATTACTTGATTTTAACATTACAGTGGTATGGTTGAAGCTACAAACTACTTTATAATCTTAATTGATAACGTGCTTAACCTATTTTTAATAAAAACTATCTTAAATCAAAATAACCTGTATTTGTTGGTGCTTTCCAAGTATTAACATACAGGAACAGAGAGCTACAGCCACAGTCTCCGATCCCTGAAACATTATTGAACTCGTAAAATGTGGACAGTTTAGTGTGACATTATTGTGTGCTTTGATGCAATTATAGCGCTGGGTAGCAGGTTGGTTTATTGGTAGAGTCCGGGGTTTGGTCCATGAGGTTCCCGTGTTCAAATACTGCCAAACAACAAATGCATTTTATCAATATGAAAATAACTCAACCATCTAATCAGTGATCTATAAAATGGATCCAGGCTAGAAGTTAGAGTCCTAGGATGTTAATGCAGGACCTAAGAAGAGCCAATTTAACTATGACAATACAAATCACGGTAGCTCACAAAATGGGCTCAATGGAATAGTTTCACTTACCGTTCCAAATAATGTTTTCATTTCGTCTTGCAATTCATCTTCAGTCATTACGTCACGCAAAGCCTGCAAAAGGTACGATGGTAAAGCATCTCCTGCAACATAATTGACATATAAAAACTTTAATTTATCATAACTGATTCCTACTGATTACCAGTTTTATATTTGGTCAACATTGTACAGGCGACATGATTTTAATTCAGTACAATTAGGTATCTGATAAGAGTGAAAGAATGTTGATAGACATATAGTAAATTGGGTTTTAAATTTTCACAAAGTATGCTCTGTTAATATGTCTCACAGAATAATGCCGTTACAAGATTTCAAATGTGGACATTACGATATAATGATATAATCGCGGTGGCAATTGACTATGTATTTAAACTGAGATGTTTCAAAAATATATGAAATCCACAAGCAAAAGTCTAAATGGTATCTACCTTCAACTTCTTCCATGTGTTTTTCATTATCATTGTTAGTGCAGTGCTTAGTTGTGACAGCCTGAAAACAAGTTATGAAAGAAGCTTGTTAATATTTTTTTGGTATTATTACTATATTATAAGCATTTAAAATGCATTCACTTACGTTGAGTAATAGCAACCTTGAACGTTTTATTTATACAGATTAATCAGTTAAGGATTATATCCTACACGTATTGCCTATCTATATTCCTTATCACGAGTCAAAACAAAAGCATCCGGTTTATCATAAAATAATCATAATTTTATTGTAATAATGTACCAATAAGCCACATGTAGCTGTATTACTTGCAGCTACATGCGATTTACGTATATAGTTTTTCGTTGTCCACCGGTATGGGCAAAATCGTAAACGCTACATAATGAAAAGAATTACATACAACTCCACCATGATAGTGATTCAATTCATCAATACTTAATTAAAGAGTGATATATGTTCCTTACTCTTGCATAATAAACTAAACAAAATTATAATGTAAATACTGAAATGCAAGTATAACTGCATTTTAAAATGTTTCAAGTTTATTTTATTTAGCAATAAACAAAGACCAGTTGTAAAATGAGTTAATTGAAAATATTACCTCCAAAGGTTGAGAAATAAAGTCCTTCCACAGAATTTCAAGCTTTTTAACTCGTTTCCAGTTAATTATTTTCAACATTGTATTCGACGATATCCAAGGGTAAATACATTTACTTGCAACAAGATCCATTGCGCTGCACACAATAAAACACATGTTAATAAAACGAGGTGCTTCAAATAGAATTTTGAAAGAGAAAATATACTATGGATATTTAGGAAGTGTGTGTGGATCTATTACTTGCCTAGAAACATTTCCCACATTTTCGCATCTAGTTTACAAATAATAAAAACTGTAGTAATTATATTTTAAAATTTAATAAAGCTGAAATGGAAAAACCTCTGTAAACCTTAAAATACATTTACGTTGACTAAATTTCTATTTTTTGTATTAACATTTTAAAAGCTAATAAATGCACATTTATAAAAAAAAAAACTATACATCCAAGTTTTACACAATTCAATACCTTTAATTTTTTTTACTATTTATTTAGATATTAAATTAAATAAAACAAAGTAAGAGTATCTCTCAAATTCTTAAAATAATATTATTGATTGCAGATTACGCAAAGAAATTTTTATGATGACATTAAACTGTTAGAGGTACTTAAATGGCAAAATACGTTATTTGAATAACTATTTGAAATAACTTTAACAATATTTCCTAAACTAAGTGTAATTTGATTGAACCTACATATTTATACATTCCACCCCAGCATTAATTGAATTCTCATCCGTCTTATTAACACCTGTAGGACCAAACATAATTCCTAAAACAAAAGAACATTGATTATTAAAATATAAAAAATATCACAATGCATGAAATGCTATAAACGGTAAGTCGATTGGGGGGTTAAGTTCATTCCAATTATTATTATAAAATTATTCACTACGAAAAATTTCAACATAGTTTGTTAAACTGCATGAAAAAAATTCTTCAAACGATGTGAGATCATGCTAGAAATTTGATCTGATGGCATGGGATAGTGTAAACCATCAAACCCAATAAACTAACCGAGTAAAATGCATGCATCAGACACATCTGTTTGTTCAGCTCCTTCAAATGATTTTTTTTAGCTGACCCTTGACTCACTAAAACTCTAGAGCTTGATGATGTTTAGCAACTAAGTATTAGATGTGCCATTGTATTAAAATAGGTATTTTGTGAGTGGACATGCATAGGGTAAATGCTACAGTTATTGGCGCCTTAACGGTAGGCTTCGGAAAAATCTACCACAGCTCCTTTGCAATAGTTTTTTTAATATCTACGTTTTTTTAATCATGTAGCAGAATGTACTGAGAATACTGGGATGTATAAAGAAAATATATATATCATTACTTAAGTTTATTAAAAAATTTAAATGTTAAAAAATACAAAAACCATAGTTATTGGCACCATCAACCATAGCTATTGTCACATCTTGGCACAGTTATTGGCACCTATAAAAAAGTCTACAAATATTACATTTTAAGCGTACTAAGGTGGTCTCTGTTGTCTTATGTGATGTAACTTATGCCTAATCATATTATAGTATATAGAAGAAACAATGAAAATTATACAGTAAGTAAAATTAAAATCCTTAAAATTGCTCATGGTAGGCCTAGTTTCAGTTCTTTGGCAACACCTTTACCGAACTTAATACCGTCTTTATACATATTAATTGGTATTGGTTCGTCGTAATCAATGCCATCAAAATATTTCCTGTGAAATATTTCATTACAACGTTCACATTTCATCTTTTGTAGGCCTATTTTTTATTCTCTTTGTTACGTATTTGATCCTGATTGGGGCTTTTCGACGGAATTTTAATGGTTTTCCACCCGGCATGGATCATAAACATAAAGAAATGACGTTTTTGGCCCGAAAATAAACATTATTTAACATTGCATAAATGGAACTCCCAAAACATATGTTAATGCTATTAGTATAGGATTCGGGCCAACAACGTCATTTGTTTTTGTTTATGATCCATACCGGTATTTTTCTAGGATTCGTGGTTTTAAACATAATATGATGGATCGGTTTTTGGTTTACCCTTTTTTAATATGGTAAAAATTAGTTATGTGAAGCTTTGTATCTTTATATATAAATTAAGTATATTGGCCTAAATAAATTATTTTTTATAGCAAATACTCGTGTAACCATGTTACGATAACTTAGAGACTTCCATGACAGTAAATGCTGTTACTGGCAGTGTCACCTGTTACCAGTGACTACAGTCATTGGCATGCCAATAACCACAATAATTACCAGTGCCAATCGGCATTAGTGTATTTACCATAGTTATTGGCATGCCAGTTACCACAGTTATTGGCAGTGCCAAGGTTGTGCCAATAACTAAATCACTAAATATTTTAGACACAGTTGTTGGCACCCTCATATATTAGGTAATTTTAAGTATATGGGTAAATGGGTGGCGGGAATAGACAAATCAGTCCTTCCTAATACTAATGAAATAATGAAAACGTAATTTTTAATGTTCAGTTTTAATAGGAAACAATAAACAGGTATGTAAGTACTTGTCAGATTCTTAAGGAAATGTGAAGAATCAATAAAAATCGGCTAAGCATTTGAAAAAAAAAATTCTGTGCAGGTTAGCATGGCCTCTGGAATAACCAAACACACACTGAAGTACAGTGAACTCATGTGGGCATCTCAGCAACTAACTCCCCTCTTCCACCGACTTTTGCATTTAGGTGTACGAGGCTTTGAAAAAAAGGTGCCAATAACTATGGTAGTGCCAATAACTCTAGCTCTTACCCTACTAGCTATTACACATTATATCAGCCATTAACAGTGTTGAAAAGTTGACTTACGTTACTTTTTAAACATCAAACACCTTTTATAGCTAGGAAAAAATGAAACAAATAATACCATTAAGGCTTAAGGTAAGCATATCAAACATAGTCCAGTTCAGTATTCCTATCGTTAGTTATAACCGGTACTTTTTTATATTCACATTTATTTATACTAGTGGTCGTCCAGTGGTCGAAAACTCGACCAAAAATATGTAATATACAGACTTTTCTATTTTCACCCCACGCTGTAAATAAAACATGTGATTAGAATATCTTCAATTTGTTTTCATTTTCTGTTTATAATTAGTTATTTTTCCACCACCAGCATGGTAACCAATAAGACCCATGATAATGTTTATAACATTTTAAATTAATGTTTGTGCTTATTTTGTTACCTTATTTTAATTTATAAATGGATTCTGCACATCTACAGACAACTTTCCAACAGTATGCGTAGATTTCCCCTGCGATGCACACGAGCTGAGAAAAAAGGTTTTAAAGAAACATATTGGCTATTAATATATAGATTTGTACTAATTTAAATTTTACTTTACATCTCTTATCGAGTATTTACCACATATTGACCTAATAGATGCTGCCACTACTTGTGGAAATAGGTCAATTGGTCCACCATTCACTTGTGAGTCAAGTTGCTCCACCAGCCTAGAGCTACTATCGTTCCATACAGGCACCATCTTTTTGAGACTTGAAGGGTGAAAAATCGGGTTTATGAGCTTGCGAGATTTCTTCCATTTAGGTCCTGAGAAAAAGAAGTCATATTCATAACTATAACATTTAATTGTTGACAATGTCAGTTTTAAAAGGTGGTTCGTGGATAAGAAAATATGTTGTCCTGTATTATTGTTAGACGAAGGATAACTAATTTATTTTCGTTTACAATGAACAGTTTATGCTTACATAAGATCTTTTTTTGTACAGTAGTAAGTTAAATATTTGTATGAGTTGTGAATTTTGTGTTTAAAAAGTTCATTTGGAAGTAAGTTGTACACTCAATGGATTTTAAGAAAATGCTTACAAGCTCTTACCTTGATCTGTTATTTTGTATTAATTTATGTAAGGGGATAATATCCTGTGTGGTTGTTATTACAAGTGTTTATTATCTTCTATACCCTATAAACTATGCCACGACTGTTAAATATCAAATTGAACATGGCTGAACAATAATCATCTAATTAAGTATCATATGTTTCATAAACACCAAGAGTTAGGATTACAGAATCTTAACTGCTTTTTGGTTTTAGTTCCTAAGGATGCATCTTCAACTTTAAGTAATGACTAGTTTCTAAGCTTTTTATGTTAAATGTAAAATTAAAACTAAGCTTACATAAAGGACTTTAACGGAAAGCAAATACTAACTCTTGTAATCAAACATTCATACAAATTAATTTACATACAAACTTTATAAAAATTTATCCCCCACATAGATAACTAACTCTTTGAATTCCTATTTAAACGATTGTTTAACATGCCAAACTTTATTATCGAATTACCAAAAGGAAATGGGTAGATAATATACGTTCAAAGCTAAGCTAAACTGATAAACAACAAAACCATGCGTTGCAGCCGTACCTGGTGCCATGATTAACCCTTCTCCAAATATAATCTTCGTGGCTTCATATCCCTTATTGATGGATTTGGAGTTATTCAATATGGCCTGAAAATTGTTTGTAGTTTAGTAAAGTGGTTGTCACATTTGTAAATAATATAAAAATAAATAAATAAAATAACCATATAAAATTTACTTAAAACTGAAAAAAAATATTTTAGTGTCTAATATACTACAAATGTGTAGATGAAAAGGCCACAGAAAGCTTACTACAGGTATTCTTATCTATCAATGGATAATAACAAAAATGCCTCCTGATGAAACATTAGTATTTGTTTATAGAAGTAACAAATACTGTAACTTTTACTACACCTTCACTGCAACTAATCTGATAACTTTTATAGAAAAATAACAGCTCGTTCTACACTTTCCTACCATCGAAATATATTTTATATGTGTTTGCTTATAGTTTTGCTTTGAGTCACATATCAAAGCATTGTACATTGAATCTCACTTGTGACTGGAAAAAACTGTTATTATTTATTTGTTTACCTGAATATCAGAAGGGTCTTGAATAAAAACCAGAGGCTTTGGTCCGATCCAGAGACAAAATACTGGAAACCGTTTTTCTGCAGCCTGCTTCAAAAAGTCACACAGACATTTTGTAAAACCTATAATATTGAGAAAAATGACAAAAGTTACGTATTTAAATTACGAAAATAATATGATAGAGGGCCTTGCTTACCTAAAAGGTTAGAATTGAGAGAAATAAAGCAGTCTCTTAAAAAAAAAACGTGCATCACAAAAAATATGACTTGTAAAAAGAAAAGAGTAACGAAAATAGTTAACTTTGAAACACTTTCAATTATGACTTTCCATAGTTTATCTTACAAATGGTGTTGGAACTTAATCATTAAAAACTGACTTTCATCAATGTGATATTCACATACTTTTTTTAGTAATTTTGTTCTCTATTTGTCATAATGGCTTTTATGGAATTTGTATACAGTATGTCAAAAGTTCCCCTCGGTATTTGTAAGCGTTTACCTGTATATCCTCATGAATGTCATATTTTTTATTATAAACAATTGGCTCGAGGAAGTATAATATTTATCTGTTGGTGTCAAAAGACTACAGCAATTCAAAGTATTAATAACAAATAACTAAACATAATTAAAGGTTGGAATGAGATTTAACCTTTAATGGTAAAGGCACTTACAGCATTTGCATGAAAGTACGGTACTTACTTTCAACATTGAACAATATTTTGTTCTTGGGTAAAAACAAGTCGATATTTCCTATAATCCATTTCTTCGGATGAACAACAGGAAGTGTGTCGGCCAACAACAGCAGCTTTTTGCACTTCCATTGGTAGATAATTATAACACATTTCAGGACCACGAAGATCAAAATAAGATTGGAAAGAATACCCTGCAACTTGTAAATAGATATACACGTATGTAAGTAATTGTAGTGTTGAAATAAGTATATAAAATCAGTGCGAGTCATGTGGGAGTTGGCTAGTAAAATTATTTAGTGAAGTAGGCATATTTATAACAGTTTGCTTATCTGGTCAGATGTTTGGGAACTTTTTAAAAATTTCTCTCAGACATAATTGACGTACATTTGTTAAATATTCAAATGGAAAAATTGTCCTTTGTTGAAAAAAAAACTGCTTTTAATCGCAATCCACTAAAATATTGATATATCACTTGTAAAAATATTATATACCATGGTAAACAGAATACATTATCAAAAGTTTTAATCGGTAAAAAGTGATTAAATGAATTTTCAATGTCAGTTGCATATTTTGTACCGATCACATTTTGTTTTGTACCTAATGAAACTAAAAAATCAGAATCAATATGTAATTTCTAAATTCAGTATGCTTGTCATAGTTTTGTAGCACATACTAATATATAGATATTCATAAAACGTACCTTAGTAATAACTGATAAATCCATTACAATACATTTAGTGAACCACAAAAAAAAAAAACTAGTTTAGAATAAAACAACCTTCTATGAACCAGGTGGAATGCTGTACGAACGAATACAGATGTTCATTACTTAAGACACCGTCTGGCGTCTTATCTTATCATGCATTGATAACAAACATCTGTCTCCTATGAACTTTGCTGGTAACAGGTACACACATTACTTTTTTCTGTTATAGGTCACCATTAAAGTTGTGTGATCATAGATATTTGTGTATTAAGAGCGCAAAGTACGCCATTGCCACTCGAAAACTGTAATATGGCCGCACGGAGGTTTAGCAAAGTGGTGCTGGTAATACCCACAAGGTTGTTGTTGTGTACTATAATCATGTTACGATAATAACAGATGAACCTTTTATCTTTATCCAACATAATTAACTAATAATAACAGACGGATAAACCTTTTCGCTTTAAATAAAATGTTTTTTAGTTTATGTTGGCTTTTTAGGTTATGTTATTTACTTATGAGATGTGTTATAGAAACGCCAGAAAAGTTAAAACAGCTGAGTTTAAGAGTGGAAATGAGTTCTTTTTGCGTGATTTTTACAGGTGTGTGGAAATGTGATAACTTCCATGTAATGGCAGAAAATAATATAGCTATAGAATAGGTATATAGTTTATGTAAAACATTCAAATTTGTTTTCGAACTATTCAATACTGATTATTTTGTAATCGTCTAGCCAGCTAAGTTGTTATGGTGCTCAAACTCGAATATGAAGATTTTTGAATCAATTCGAGCAAAGTCGGTTCTGCAACCAGAATCTATTCATCACTAAGCCACCAATTAAAGATGATACCTTTAAAACATTATCGTTAAATGGTAAGTAAAAACCAGGATTTGGTCGTTACCTTTAAAAACTTTGGATATTCCATTCAATTAGACGTTCAATTGCTTTAAACTCTTGAAAGATTATGAGAAGTTTTAATTCAAACAGTTTTTTAGATTTGTAAACTTGAAAAACATTCTGTCTTTTATATAACAATTACTTTAAGTTTTGATGTCTGATGTATTATGATAAACTACAGTATTTCAAGTTAAGAATTTAGATTAAATTGAAAATGTTACATGTTAACTGTTGTAAAACACTCTTCAAATCCCTGGGACGAACAAATATTCCCAGATTCAGATGTTTACTTTCTGAGAGTTCACTCGTTCAACATAATATTTGCCTTCGCTTATTTTCGCGTGCAAACTGTTTGTTTAGGATTTTGATTTATAGCAGTGGTTGTTAAGGTTATAATAAAACCAGGCACTACTAGACATAATAGAATAATAAATTACGAGTTTGCTTGTCGCTTGAAATCTAAAAATTTCTTAGTATTAAATGAGCGAGTTGACAATAAATAATAGTTCCTACAATGTCGGATTAATGAAATATATTTAACTTAGCAAAGGTTAAGTAACTACTGGAAATACTCACACTGTTCATAAAAGCTCTTATTAACAATATTAATTATAGATATTTTTAATTTTTCAGCAGCTCACTTTGGTCTTAAACATTTTACACTATTTGAATATTTGAGTCCTTCAACAACTCCACTTGGGGCCACACAAAGTTGTCTATGTAAACATTCAAGGACTCTAGTAGGATTCCGTTCACAAAATACCCCTTCAAATTTAATAATTAATGAATTAATTTGCACTTCCTTTTAAACAGAGAAAATGAAAATTATTTTAATGTACTGCTAGCATGAGAATGTTGAGATGAGAATTACTTATATTGATAAAGGTATAACTTCATTTCTCTTAAAATCAAATATCACATCTTACTCAAAGAAACAATCAGAAGTTGGCTACTTAAATCATTTTTTGAAAAACACTAATTAATATTCAGTGAGTAATGATTATAATATCTATTGACAGCTGCATTAAAAAGTATGGCATTATACAAAATTCAAAATAAAAATAATACCATGGTTAGTCTCATAGTGGTATTATTTAACAACATATTTTATTGTAGAATATTTGAGCTCATTTATGAATTTCATCTACTGCCATACAAGAGAGTATTAATTATTTAATATTTATTTTGTGTGTTATCTGTGCTAGTAGAATTTTTTACGTTTTGAAAGGATCGGTCCAAACCCTGGTCTTGTTACTATCTAACGTCGAACTTTCTGTTAGAAAGAGCAAAAATGGCATCTGAGTCTGGAAACGACATCGCTTGGAATCGAACCAGCGACCTTTAGATTTGAAGGCGAGCAGACAATTAAATGAATTCTCCCTTATTTCACTATTTTACCTGAATAAATAGTATATTTAACTCTTTGTTGCTAAACTACACCTTCTGTATAGCTAATTTTAATCCTCTCACCTTCCTTCGCTCTAGTATTATAAATAATATTTAAAATTTTTCATATGAAGGCACAAGTTTCAGCTTTAACGCCTGACTAACACATATAAACCAGATTTTCCTTAATAATTTTTTTTTGTATTTCGCACACGTGGTAAATCTCCTTTGAGCCTTTGACAATGGAAAAGCTTCTCAATCCTTTGTTGTATCAAAGCTTATCGTTTAACATATTCCCAATTAAGTTAAACAACGTATTTTTGTCTTCTCTAAAGCATGTTAATTTAGTTAATTAAGTTGTGATCTTTTGTAGGCTATGTAAAGCCGTCTTTGTAAATATTAACCTTATTATGTCTAACGTTGTTACATGAAAGCAAGCATTTTCTTCAAAAAGGTTTGCAAGATCTTTTTATTTGCAACGACAGAGTAAAAGAAAATGAATTATTAGGAAGCTTGCCGTTTTAACAAACCTTGTGTATAATTTTTTTTTAAGATTTTGGAATTCATGTGCTTTCAAAAAGGTTTTAGTGGAAATTTGATTTATTTTCTTTTTTAACAAGACAACAACAGTTTTATTCTTAGCAATCAGATAAAAAAAAAACATATAATACACTTAGATTTTTTGATAATTTTACTTACACCATTGAGATTCATCTGTTATTAAATCATTACAAACCCCTGACTAAAAACATGGATTGTAATGAGTTATTGAATGCAAACTCAAGATTTTAGGAAACTTGGTAGGATATGAAACAGTTGTAGTTGATTTATCAGAAAGCTCTGCAGATGAATCACCCTTTCGTAGCCGGGTGGTCAAAAATAATTTATATAAAACTTGAGACATGAATGGTTATTTTTTTGTGTCTGGCGAGTGTTAGCAACTATGCTTGGTTATCAAGAAAATATAATTTAGATTTTTTAGGTGCAGGTTTCCACTGACATATACTTTTACCTTGTATTTACTATTAAGGTTCTACTATATGACGTTTGGTTCTAAATGATGATGTACTATAGCAAGACAACATGTTCTTCCTCACAGAAACATGTGACTAATAGAGATTAACAATTGAGACATATTTGAGCTTCATCAACTGTTAACATCTTAACACCTGGCACTGACGTCTTATTTATCTAACGTCACATTAGGCTAGGAAATATCACTATTGGCAAAACGCAAATATATTGCTGTAATAATGGTACAATACCTCGTCAAGTAATCCAAATGTCGATTGAGGTTAACAACCTACATGTTTCGCCGTAAATACGGCATCGTCAGGGTTACAAAAATGAAGACATCGATGTCACACCCACACAATAAATACACGAATACGAACATTTAATTATGGAAAGTAAACATGTAATTGACATTGATAGGCCTATCACATGCACACGACACGGACGGTCCCGGCGCAGGTAGTAGACTGCAGTGTCAGACTCCTTCCTCGTTTTTGTCCATGTTATCAGTAGGACAATGGTATGGTGGCCTGTTTTTTTTTGCGAATTAGCACATTGAAAATAGAGTGTGACTGGAACTGCAGTTTTTCGTTGAGGATATGTAAACTGGCGGTGTTGTCGTGGTACAATTTGTAAATTTTAAATTCCTCTAACGTTTACTACCGTTTCTGAATTTATGTAGCACCTCAAGACCGTCAGCAATCTCACTCATGTTATGGTTTAGGTCGATTAAATGCTGGGCAAACGATGAATTTAGTTTGAATAAACGTGGTTTGGGCCTGTGTTCGTTGTAGCGAGTAGAAAACCCACGACCTGTTTGCCCAACATATTGGCTTGGACAATCTTGGCATTTGATTTTGTAAACACAAAATCAAATTAAATTAAATTAATTAAATGTATACGATACCGTATATATGGCAAAACATGTAGGTTGTTAACCTCAACCAACATTTGGATTACTTGACGAGGTATTGTACCATTATTATAGTCATATAAAGTAATCCAGGGGCCATCAACATGGAAGCAAATATATTGCAGATGAACGTAATATGTAGAAACTTTGCAATTAGATTTATCGATATTATTTAAATTATAAGGTTTACCATCCAAATACTTGAGTGGTCCAAATACATGTAGGAACATTTTTTTAAATGAAACCATAAAATTTAGGGTATTTAATAGGCTATTCCCAGAGGTTAACATCCCGCAAGACAACTATTTAATTATTTAAATTGTAGCGAGTCGCTACAATAGCGCAAGTCACGTGACGCGGATGCGCGCGCAGTCGGCCCGGGTAGGCACGCGCAGCGAGCCAAGAGACCAGTAGTGTGTGTCGAGTGCCCGGAGCTGTACAACTTAACCGGATAAGTAACTGTAGCCTAAGATGTCTAGCTAATAGAAGTAGGGGTTGGGGAAGGGTGTAGGTTAGGGTAGATAGTAATTCAATTATGTAATTTATTAGGTTCTCGAAAGGTCGTGGTCTGGCAATTATTATCACTAATTTTGAATTCACATTTGCTAAGTCTAGTAACCTTTTTCACGAATTAGAATAAGTCCATATATATATATTTCTCTGTTCATTATATTATAATTAGATACATTATGAACATAAAAGCTGGCTGTGATAGGCAGCTAAGGTAATATTGCGCACTTTGACGAGTTAGATTAATTCTTGCAATAGAGTTGGGTTACGACAGGAAATGTGCGTGATTTGGCAGTGGTTAGAGGAAGATATATAGGGCCCAGGTATCTTCATTTACACTCATACTACTCCACATCATCACATATTGGTAGCAGAGCGTCAAGATCCGGCCAAAAATGCAATTTTAACAGAAATAGAATAGATTAAAACGTGTCTCAGACCAGCCAAGTGCTTTGTTCAGACAGGAAATCGACAGGCTACAGGTCGGCACCACGTGGCGGCCTGGAACGCACGAGCATGCATAGCTAGGCACGTCATGAAATGTGAATCAATATCATTCAGTTTATTTTATTTTCAAAGGAAATTTAAAAATCAATTTTAATGTGAATTTTTTAATTTCAAAATAGAATTAGGAGAACTTGGATATTTTTGATTAATATTTTACCAAACCAAGTTGATGAATATATTTAAATGCATTTATGTAATCACTCACGAGTTCGACATCAAGTCTGAAAGGCAGTAATTGAACTAAATATACCTCGACGACAGGCCGAATGAGTGTTAGATGAATATTTTTATTACGGAAAGCAAAATATTAGGAGTCAAAGTGCACATCGGTATAGTTGACAGGCCACGGCCAACAAATCAAAATTTCAAAATTCGGGGGATTTTAAATTCATCTGTATGTCACCTCCCCAACCCCAAAAGGTCATAAATATGCCCAAAAAATTTTTATTTCATAATTTTTACAGCCAAAAGGGTACTGCAGTGAATTAATTAGTAATTAAAGTAGTATTTTAAAACTTAGTCTGACATATTTTGGTTGTAACTCATCACCTTAATTTAACTTGTGTTTAGAATTTATGTTGTCCAGCAAAGTTTTGATATTTGAGGTGGCTAGTGAAAGTTGAGAGTCCATGTCATTAATAGGCCAGACAGACTTAGAAGATAACTGGAATGTTAGATAACAGAAGTTCAAAGATAAAGCGACGATTTAAGGCCAGATTTGTTATTTCCAAGCAAACATACACGATTTAAATATACATTACACACAGTTATTACAGGCTCATCTTAAACAAAAATACAAATAAATATATAAAATAAATATAAAAACAGAAAAACATTTAAAACGTAAAAAAAAGTATATAATAATAATAAATGTAAAAAAAATGTACTACATAATTACCTGTGTACAACATTTGCTTGAGTAAATCGTCACTTCACAACATTTCAGTTGATTTAGGCCGTTAATTGACAATGTTGATTCCTTCTGAATCAAGCCAAAATCACAAGGTCAATTCATTGTTCACATCAACGAATTATTATCTTACATAAAATGTCATGTAATTTCGTACAACAATAACACAACAATCAGTACAGCAATAGATGTCAGACATAAAATGCATTACAGTTTTATATTTTACAGTTCACAAAATTTCATTCACTCGCAGCGACCTTGAACATGCAGGTCCGACACTACAACCAAACAAAAGAATTCCGACATACCGACATGCCATTACCCTGCTACACTCTTTCGACCACCTTGATACCGTAATATGATACAAATTCAAATACTCGGCGATTCGCTGACTAAACGTCTCGAATATTTTGTTAACCGAGAAGGTAGTAAATTAAAATTAGAATACAGTATGGGAATTTCAGGCGCAACAATTGGACAATTAAAGAAACAAATCAAAATCACAAATCCATATTTCAACAGTGAAATACCATTATTGTTATGGATAGGAACCAATGACATATTCAGCAATACATCAATAACAATGATGACACAGCAATATGTATCATTGCTCAGGGTAATCAGGAAGCGTTATCTAGGCACCAGGTTGATACTGTTAGGATTACCATATTTCCCTAGGTCAGAATATACACCACACACAATAGATAAAATTACTCAATTCAACACATTTTTACACACATTGTCAAATCAAAATACCCAACCAATTTTTCTAACACATGTATTAAATTCAAATACATATTATTTACACACATATAGGCATTCAAATCGTAGGGATGACATACATTTGAACAATATAGGGAATCAGATCTTAGTCAAACATTTGACACACCAATTACAGTAAAATACAATCATAAGTCCAAATTCACACCATTTTTTAAATAATTTCTCTCTTTTTCTTATTAAATTACAATTTGCCCAGCCCAAACTCTTCCCACCTGTTTGGTCAAATAGTTGATATTAAAGAAGTTGTTAAGGATTGAATTTTTGTTTACTATTCAAATAAGAGTAGATCAAGGCAAGATGTCCAAGATTTACGAGTGGGAAACAAAACCCACGGGGGTATCATGGATACGAGAATTTGATGCGCAAAGCGCAATTCTACAGTGCGAGAAGTGGGGCTTAACCCCAGCCAAGACACTGGAAGAGAATAGGGTCATTTTAAAGAACGCGGTGACAGCACAGGTGCCAAGTGTACCAGACACACCAAAACCCACAGAACAAAACACACCCATCTTAGCGGATCAGACGGCGGAAATGATTAGAATCACAGCCCAAGCCATAGGCAATTCAATCGCTCAAGCCTTATCACAAAACAAACCTGTAACACAATCAACACACACCCACACAAACCCGAGATTAGTTGACGATCTAGCGTCGAAAGCTCCCAATTGCGACGGCACTGACACAAGCAAATTGTTAGCCTTCTTGAAAACGGCCATTCAAATTGAGAAATTAAAGTTAGCCGACGACAAATCAATCACAATAGCATTGTTGCACAAAACAGCAGGGCAATTAAGGGATATTTGGACCATGGCATTGCAGGAGAGCTGGGAAGTCAAAGGTAAAACAATTCCTACTATAATTAGTACCTTTCTGCCAGAAAGGGCAAAGCAACAGCTCCTGACGCAAACAGTTTATAGGGTGCAGGGTCAATTCGAGTCACTTTCAGATTTCATTATCCAGGTGAAAGAGTCAGCAGAAATCCTAATACCAACAGAATACGACTTACTGGAGGTAATATTGACAGGTATAAACGCGACAAACAGGGCACGTCTTGCAGGGTTCCCGCCGCCGACCAAACTTGATGATTTAGTAGCGCTTATCCCAAAATTAGAAGTTGTGAGACAGTTAGAAGAGGGTAGCAACTCGCAATCACGCCGATGGGAAACCAGAGCAGAAAATAATAGGCAATTCACACCTCAAAATAGGCAATTCACACCTCAAAATAGGCAATTCACACCTCAAAATAGGCAATTTACACCTCAACATAGGCAATACACACCACAATACATGCAACAGCCACATGGGCAACCAAGATTTCCACATCGACCACACACGCAGCCAAATACATACTATAGGGCACCAGTGCACAGCAGTGCATATCACGGCGCACCGAGGCAGGTCAATAACCCCAGACACTACCGTCCGCCCACCAACCCTACAGACCAACACACACCTACACACAATACACAGTTAAACTCCAGAGGAGGCCGATAATTGGCGCTCTCGCACCTCCGACACCTCACAGCGCCTATTCACACACACCAATCAACCAAAACACACACACACATAGCCATAAAAACAAAAATGCTCCAAAATTTCCTAAATTAAAAACATGTACAATACCAATTTTTTTCGGCGACATTGAAACAAATGCACTCATAGATACAGGTTCTACGACGTCAATTTGCTCACGACCCTTTTTTGATAGAATCAAAAATAATCACTTAATTACAAAATCAATCACTCCGATCAATCAATTCGCTATTTCAGCCTCAGGCGACAAGGTAATGTTCTCACACATGGCAAAGCTACACTTTAAAATTAGACACTTCTCTTGGACATTCAATTTCCTAATAGCACCTAAACTGCCAATAAACATTGTATTAGGGTTAGATTTCCTCACAAAAACAAAAGCAATCATAGACGTGGCGAATCACAATGTAACATTTCCATACGGTACAAGACCGGTCATGGCCATATTACACACAGACCAACACGATAGTAATCTACAAGAAGACAAAACTTACACCTTGGGCGATAATTTGACACCAAACCAGATACAACAAATACACAAATTATTACAGTCATTTCCAAACACAGTATCGAAAAGATTAGGGCAAACAAAATTGATACACTACGACATAAAATTAAAATCTCAGCAGGTTGTAAGGAGTAGGCCGTACCAATTCGCACCGCCAAAGCTCGAAGCATTACGAAAACAAATCGACGACCTATTACAAAAGGGCGTGATAAGACCATCATCCTCCGAATACAGTAGTCCAGGATTTGTAGTCCCAAAAAAAGGAAACAAAACGCGATTTGTAGTCAATTACAAAAAGCTCAACGACTTGATTAACTTAGAGTCTACGCCAATGCCAACCGTCGAATCAGCATTTCAGTATCTAGGTCAAGCGAAGTGGTATACATTATTGGATTTGAACAGCGCATACATGCAAATACCGTTGACAGAACAAAGCAAAAAATACACAGCATTCGTCGTCCCATTTGGGGAATTCGAGTTCAACGTGGTACCATTTGGATTAGCCACAGGATCACAGGTTTTGACAAGGTTAATAGATAAAATATTTGGAGACATAAAATACAAATACATTTTCAATTTTTTCGACGACTTGGTAATTTATTCAAATGGGTCATTTTCAGACCATCTCAATCAAATAAAGGAAGTAATAACTAGATTACAAAACGCAGGTCTCACGATCAACCCAGAAAAAATGACTGTAGCATCTAATCACATCGAATTCCTAGGCCACATTTTTCGCAACGGCACAGTTACATTTGACACACAAAAAATTAAACCAATTCTTAACTTCCCAACCCCCAAAAATGTCAAACAGATTTCTAGGCTAATCGGGATGACAGCGTATTACGCGAGGTTCATACCGAATTTTTCACACATTTCGGCACCATTAAACAAACTCAAACGCAAAGATACACCATTTGAATGGGGCTCTGAACAGGAAGCCGCATTGCAAAGTATTAAAAAGGCTCTAACGTCACAACCAGTTTTGAGACTCCCAGATTTCAATAAAAAATTCATCCTACAAACAGATGGTTCAGGCACAGGACTAGGAGCGCAATTAGCACAGGAACACGAAGGTAGTTTATTACCAATAGCCTACGCGTCGAGACCACTGAGCAAACACGAAGTAAACAAATCCACAGTCGAATTAGAATGCCTAGCAGTCGTGTTCGGATTGACAAAATTCCAACAATACCTCGAACACAGGGAGTTTACACTTCAAACAGATTGTTCAGCATTAACTTGGCTTCTAAATCATCCACGACAAGTAGGTAAAATTGCGCGATGGATAACATTCATTAACTCTTTCCAATTTCACTCAGAGCACATAAAAGGCAGTGATAATCCAGTCGCCGACTGTCTATCTAGGCTATACGAGGACGCCGACACACAACCAACAGTAGTAACACTAAACGAAGACACTAACACACATTCAGTAAACATTTTGATGAGAATCCCAGAGGCTTTCAAAAACATCGACGAACATCAAAGAGACGACCCCGCGTTGATCAAAATTATTAGGGACCCACATAGAAACCAGGCATATACAGTAAAGGACGGAGTGTTAATGCATTTAGCACCCGGCCAAAAGACACCACGAATAGTACTCCCCACGAAACTAATTGACATGATTTTTACATACTACCATTTAGCACCTACATCAGCACACCTAGGAATCAAGAAAACTATACATAAAATAAATCAATTTTTTTGGTCACCAAATTTAAACAAAATAATAGCCGACAAAGTCAGAACATGTCTCTCTTGCCAAAGATCCAAACAAGCTCCGAACACCAGGGTAGGCGAATTATCATCCGATCTAGCAACCAAACCATTCCAAAAAGTGTACATTGACTACGTAGGCAAACTTCCTAGGACAAAGTCAGGCAACTCATACCTACTATCTGTGGTAGACGCATTTTCAAAGTTTGTAATTCTTTTACCTGCTAGAAACGCGACAGCTGCCACCACAACTACACTTCTCACAAAACACATATTCTCACACTACGGTTTCCCGCAATACTTAGTATCAGACAACGCACCATCTTTCAAATCGAAACAAATGAAGGAAATGTGTTTAAACTTCGGAATCAAACACATATTTACGTCACCGTACAACCCAAGCGCAAACAACGTAGAGAGAGTCAATAAAAATCTTAAAGTTGCTATGAGGATATATCACAATTCTGACAACCAAACATGGGATCAAAACATTCATTGGTTTCAAATAGCATTTAACTCCGCTCAACATGAAAGCACCGGTTCGACACCTGCAAGCTTATTTTTGGGGAGAGAAATTAACCATCCACTACAATTAGCCTGGGATTTAAATAAATTAATTGGGGAAGAATCTCAACCAACCACAGACAATCGCTGGCAACATGCACTTGATAACCTACGGAAGGCAAGAGAAAAACGCACACAATACTATAACAGCGGTCGTCAACCCAATCCTTACAAAGTAGGCGATTGGGTAATGTACAAAATGCA